AAAAGCTAGAACTCTCTGAAAAAGCAGTATTCATATGCAAAGTAAGAAAATTTTGAATTATTGGTTTAAATCTTTGATGCCCTCAAATTCAGTGGGATTACGGTTACATTAAAATATTTCAATAAAACTGAATATATTGATGTTAGGAAGAGCATCTCTTTCAGTCTGAAGGAAGAATCTGGTTGTCAGTAATCAGATTTCAACTGCAATGAATAAAAAGAGAAAAATCTGACGCTAAAATCTACATCCACAGTAAATAAGCAAGACACGTATATATGAAAGTTCTGACATGCAGAACACCTAAAAAGACTTCTGGTTCTTCACGGAAAAGGCAAGTAAATAACATGTGCTATATCCCTGTCAACTGAATTAAAAGTATTTCTTAGCATTTGTTTCTCATAATCATGAAGTCCTTTGTCCGTAACAATATCTTTGGTTGTGTCTGCTCTTATGCCCAGGGGAAGCCAGCATATTTGCATCTCTAGTAAGGTTTTTGCTATATTTAAGATGCTTTTTCCCAAACCTGTGTACACCTGTGTTTTCTCACTGTACACATCTTAAATCATTTGATCAGATTATAGTACTACTCTTTTTGCAACTCTTCAACAGAAAAAAGAAAATTACAAGCCTTACATTGCAGATGGAGTGAATTACATTTTGAAATATACAGAATAATACTAAGAAATTTTGAGTCTTAATCAGTAAAGTCTTCCTCCTAGGATAAATCAATATGCGGATGAGGGCCATACAATTATATCCTTTAGTAAGAAATAAGATAGACATAAAAAAGGGCTTGTTTTCATCTCCAAATAAAAACATTTTTATAGAAAAAAACACAGAAAAATAAATTTAGGCTTGCAGGAACCAAATAATAGTTGTAAATACTAGAAATGGAAGCTTTTCCTAGACTTCTTCTTGTTCCAGTTACAGTGACTCCTCCATTGCTTGAGTTCCACTGTACTTTGTGACCACAGTTTGCACTAACTTCTTAAACAGTTTGTATTCTGTAAATATCTGTAAATACTATGCTTAATTTATAAAATCTTTTGATTCTATGTCTTCAGTATGTACTCTCTGCTCTGAAATAAGCCCTAATAATTTGAATAAAGTAATTACAGAAATAATTATTTATAAATTCAGGCTGACAGGCCTTACACTTAAGCCTCTATATTGCATGCACAATCTACATAGATAGCAGTGGTATCCACATGTGGCTCCCTTGAAGATTTGAGCAATGCATTGATGAGCATCATTTCTAAATATGAATTGGGATTACTCTTTTTTTCCCAGTATAAAGTACAAATTATGAAAAGTAGAATTTGCAACTTAACTTGTTCTTCATATTCTTGACTGACAAATTATCTCTAATTTGTACCTTAGGAAATTGCCAGATATTATACTGCAGTTAAAGCATCACAAATACCATTAAGGTTACTGGATAATTTTATTTTACTTACTATCTCAAAAAATTTGAAGAATTTTAAAAACAAATCTTTGTAACATAAAAAAAGAAATGGGTCAACTATGACCCACAATTGGCTGTTACCATTTTTAAATAACATTAGCCTGAAGAAGCATTGGGCTTGTTTTTGTATGTCTCAGATTGGAAAATATCCTGCTAGAAAGCCAGATAAACTTGAATTTGGGCACTTCACTGACCAATTAATTTTGCTGAATTTTTACTTTCTGCTAAAGAACATCATTTTCTCATCAAATGATTACACAGATTATTTAAAGAAATCTTGTTCCACAGATCCTAGCTCAGTTCTTTACTGATCTCACATCTACACTACTTACACTTAGCTTAATATATCTAAGTCACATGTGTAAATTTCCATTAAAAAATTTAATCCTTGAATAAATTGACAAAGTAGTGTTCTGTGTCTGTATAGATAAATGCAATTCAATGCCTTCTCCTGTCCTCCCACCCATGCAAAATGCATGAGAAAGAAATTAGAGCAAAAGGAATATGCTAAAATTTTTTTTTATTTGCATTCTTTGCAGTATTATTGCTCATATCTAAGAATATTTTCATTCCAAAGTGTTCGGGTATTGCTACATAATTAGTCCCATAATCTTAAAGTCCACAAATCTAAACTATATGAAGCAATATAATCCTTTCATTTTTTCTGATTCATTTAATTAAGATGCTCTTAACTTTAAGCCACAATGATACTACCTTGCCATATTTTAAAATCTTAGTAGACAAAGACAGAATGTTAAATATACATGATTGCAGAGTAAGACAAATACTGAATGGTAGTAGTTAAGATATAATTCCTACTATGTGAGAAAAATACTGCATTTCCAAGAAACACTGAAGCATATTGCTAACCTTCAATTCCTCATTTCTGCTTCAGAAAGCAAAAAGAAAGCAAAAGAAAAACTTAGATGAACGCAGTCAGTTAAGAGGTATTACTTTTTCTTTCAATTTAGCGTCTTTGATCAGTTGACCTAAGATGCAGCAATATAAAGACAACATTATGTGCTTGATGTGTGGTTTGTAACTGCTCTTTCATTGCCTGGCAAACATGAAGCATGCACCAATGACGTGCAAAACTTGCAAATGGAAAACACTGCTAAATACTCTTTAGTGTGTTAAAGCAAGAACCATGGGATATGATTTTATACCTTAAAATATTTACACTAGTAGTAAAGAGTAAAATCGTCCTGCAGGTCTGTGCAGGAGAGCTCTGAAGTAAGGATTCAGTCATGCATTTGCGAAGGTGATCACAATCTGTCATTTGATCTCATGGCCAAATAGAAAAGCATAGCATGCTCTCACGGGGCATACATCCATATTTGTGATGCAGCATTTCCAACAAGTGAAGGGATTTAGAGGTTAAATTTTTCTCCAACAGCAGGCTGGGTGATTTTCTTGGATTCCTTTTGTTAAGCAGCACAATATTGGAAATTATATTGGGCAGGACACCCAACGTACCATCTGCTAGAGATAAAGTCCTTTGCACTGGATCTAGACTTCAGTCAGCATAAGTTACTGAAGAAGTTTTACAAAAAATAGACTTTTAATAATGATTTTATATTATCCAACCCATGACTGACATACTGAAAAGAAATAAAAATCATTAGGCAGGAAAACTGCCTGAATCTTGATTAACAGCTGCCAAAAGCCTCCAGATAAAGTTCATAAGAGCAAGAAGAGAGCAGAGACAATTTAGAAAAATCATCAGTGAAACGGAACTCATTTGTTTTGCTTTTGTAATTTTTCAGGTAACTGGGAAGATCTCACACTTTCTTCTCAGATCTGTCGCTGTATTTTTAATTAGGTAAAGAACTCAAAAACATATTTCAACATCAACTGACATCACTTTGATTTCTGAACTCATTTTTGGGATCACAGAGAATCACATGCATCTTTCATCCTCAGACACATCATCACACTACTGAAGGCAGGTGACATGTCAAACACTGTGACCTGTACCACAAAGCAGTTGCTTACAGAACAATTCACATGTACTAGAGGCAACAAAAAAAAAGGGAAAAAGACAGACAGAACTGAAGTTCGGCATGGTTGGTATTAGGATATTACTAATTATGATAAAGTCAAGAAAAGAGTCATTGCTCAGATTCAGGGATACTAGAGCTCTGACTCTAGCTATATTAGAAATATTTTGCATATTACAAAAAAAATCTAATGTTCTTGTGGTTTTTTTTAGAATTTGCCTCACAGGAATCAAAACACAAACATCAAGATCATCCCAGGCTCTAAGCACTAGATTTGGAGGTTTGCAGCCTGAGAGTGACTCAGCCCAGGCTCTGTCACATTCCTGTTTTCAGAGAAATACTTTTGTACTGCAATTCAATCATTTGTTTTTCTTGTATGATCAATACTAAAGGCAATAACATTATGTTTCAGGCTAATATTGTCAGACTATCTCAAAATAAAACTATCTTAAGTACCTACAGTTGGCAATGGGATTTTTGATTGCAGTATACTGCACTCCAAAAAAGCAGAGAAGCAGAATGCAACTCTGTAAACAGTTCCCCAAAATATTTATTTCTTTTACTAAAAGAATAAATAGAACAGGTTTGTACATTTAAGAAATCATGATGCCATCAAGACACAATCTCCTATTTACCGAGTTAAACAGAAATCCTTCTAATCACAGGAAATGTTTTTGCAGTCTGTTTGTGTCTATACTGTGTCAGATAGCTTATTATCTGTTGAATATTACAGATAAAATGAGGAAATTACTATTTTCAAAACCAATTTAGCACCAACTTTGAAAAAAAGATCAGGTTTTGAAGAAAATGTCACCAATCATATTGCAGCCCTGAGGTAATTCTGTTTGTTATTGATAAAAGCTCATGTGGAAATATTCAAAAGCCAAGAGAGCAATATTTATGCAAAAGAGAGAGAGAAAAAAAAAATCAGTGTTACAAATTCTGACTAGTTTTTTGTTTCCAGTGATCATATTTCAAAGGAAATCTGTATGAATTCTAACCAAACCTGTTCTATTAAAATCATGGGAAACCATGGGAAATGGGGGAGTTTTAGCCATTTCTTTTCCTGAACCAAATGTTTTTTTTAGTTACCCAAATATTCAGAAATTATAAAGACACTCATATTGTTACTTTCTGTGAATACAACTTAATTCACGCTCTGCCTCTTAGGTTGATGCTTGCTACACACACATTCTTTTTTACCTGCAGGGGTATATAGTGCTAAGCTATAGAATATGATTTTAGGCTTCAAACTATTTGCTAAAACTAGTTTAAGTCACTTAAAGGAAAGACTTTGAATACCAAAGCTAATACATCTCTGAAGTGTTAGTAACTCCTTGGATCTGACTTTATATAGCTAGTCACACCTGTTTAAAGTTGGTTAAAATTCCTGTAAATCACTATATATGAAATGCACAACAACAGAATTCAGAAATACTCTGAAACACTATGAAGCTGCACAAGCAAACACACACACACACACACACACAAACACACACCACAATAGCACTCAAATATTTTTGAAAATTACTTACTTTTCCTTTGCTGGGAGTTCTGTCTCATAAGCTGCCACTTTCGCTCCTGTACCAGCAGGTTTTCCTATCCTCTGCCTTCTCTTTCGTGTTGGAGCGACATCGACAACATCTGGGCTACTCAGTACGGAGTCCCTTTGTTTAGCTGCTGCCAAAAGGGAGATGACCAAAGTTGAAGAGCGCACAGAAGTATTACCTGATAATTTCCCAAATACTTTTGTTTATTCTTTTAAAATCTCCCTTAATATTGGAAGGCATATTTGATAGCTATTGCTGTCTTGCAGGAAAACAAACAGAAGGGTGATAAAAAGTAAAATTCAAACAGAAAAATTTAAGCTAGAGAAGCAGCTTCCCTTGGCCTCTCTCTGTAGTCAGATGAGAATAAGGATTTGAAAATGTTCTGTGAAAGAGCAGAAATTTCCTGAAGCTCTCTGAATGCCTCTTTGTAGATTCTCTAGTAACTAGAGAGGCAGCCTAGTTTCACCTCAGCAAAGTTAGTCTTTGTGATTTACAAAACAATAAAGATGGGCACAAAGCACTGGAAAGTGGAGCTTAGGAGTTGCAATTCTGTTTACAGCATGGCTGTAAGCCATGTACAGCACGACACACCTTCAGTCTGCCGCATGAGCGACAAGAAACACCCAGAACAAAAGAGAGTTGCATGATCTTCAGTATGTCTAAGTTAAAAACTTCTTGAAAAGCTTACTTGTTCTCAACAGGTACAGGACTTTGTTATGCAGATGCTATCCTAACATAAAGATGCTGAAAATTAGCTGCAGTCCTGAAAGGAGTATGTAGAAAACCACTAACTCTCTGCAACCTCAAACTGGATAGCTAGCACAGGTTTCTACTCGCTCCTCCACTGCCCACGATACCTAAAGCAAGCTATATACAGATTCATTGACCTATAATTTTTGCTTCCATTATTATTGCATAAACTCACTCAGTAATTCATCATGAAAATTCATAAAAGACGCATTGTCTGCATCTCAAAACTATCCCCTCTCTGCTTTGACAGTTGACTGATTATTTAAAGCTTGCATGTCAAGATGGTCAGATCCTCCTTAAATTAATGTAATCTCTTCCTTTCTGTTGCTAAACATACAGAAGATATACAGATATTTTTTTATTCCAGCTATCAACCTTTGGTGGTATGATTTTATTTGATGTACCTTCTTTAAAATAAGGCATTTAATCACTTTAAATATTTAAGATAATGATAACCAGAATATCACACATTTCAACTGAACTGTAGCAAATAATGATGTGGCGACAGAGGCTGATGCTATTATGCTACTTTCTGTGCAGTTTATGAAGGTTTAATCTGTACCTGGATGAAAGACAGCATAATTTGAAATTCAATCCTGAAGATTTTCACATGCAAGTAAATAATGGGTCCTATTTGTTGATTCCTTTCAAACTGGTTATCCATCTTTGCACAACGGAAACAGGAATAAAACATGCGAATCCCAAGTAATATTTTTTTTTTCTCCAAAAGGCTGATTCTTAGTTAGAAAGCTATGAAATTAAACATACAGATACAGGCTCTCAACAGGTAATGACTGCTTGCAGTTAGAATCATAGAATCATAGAATCATAGAATGCTTAAGGTTGGTAGGGACCTCTAGAGATCATCTAGTCCAACCCCCCTGCACATGCAGGGTCATCTAGAGCACGTGGCACAGGACTGCGTCCAAGTGGGTTTGGAAGATCTCCAGAGAAGGCATGCACCTAAATTTATCAGAACCCTCCTAGCTTATAACTGCATGCACTATACTATATCAGATTTATAAATCTTTGCAGGGGGAGAACAGGTATTAGCTAACATGTTTCCAAGTCATAAGATAATTAAGAAGTTTCAAGGTCCAACACTGACAAGCTACACTGCCTATAACAAATGTTAAAAAGGGTTAAGTTACAACCTAACCTCCCATGTTAAACTTCAACTAGTTCTGTATATACTCTTCCAGTGCTAAATGTTGAAAACATCAACTATTCTTAATTAGTGTTTACTGATGCCATATTCCAAGTACCATACCTAACACTTACAGTAATACAATTCAGTATATACATATATAAATATATATAAATATACATATTTCAACATCACTTCCCAAATGTAGCTCATTCTTAATTAATACACAGAATAATTTATTGTCAGGAACCATACACTCATCAACAAACTTAGATAATTTCATTTCTATAGGTCTTATCTTTCCTTGCTGTCATTCTTCCCTCACAACGCCTGCTCTTGCCAAAAAGTGGATCCAAAGGTTAACTACATATACAATGACAACACAATGCTTCTGTTAAATAGTGTCTCTGTGTTTCCCCTCGTGCAATATATAATGGTTCTTCTCAGACAAGAGCTCAGACTCAGCACAGCTTAATGTTTAGATGCAAATCCTGTTTGTCTTCCACAACAGTCACATTGATACCCATGTGAGAAACTGGAAAAGAAAGGTTAACCTTTGTAGCATACTGCATTTCTGACTAACCTCAGGCTGGGAAAGGCTCTCTGTTTTGTACTAAACTTCTCCCACAGAAAAAAACTAAACTTTTTTTCCCACAAAAACAAATTTTGGTCTCACAGTCTGTAAAACAAAGTAGAATAAAAGATATGCACCTAAATGATTCAAATTAACCTCTGCAATAAAACTGAGAATTTCAGTTGTGAGATAATTTCTTTTAATGATATCAAGAAGGTAGCTTCTTATTCAGATGGTACAAAATGTGATCTTATCCTGGACAGTAGTAGGTTGTTTCACATATAACAGTAGATCACCATAGATGTGCTGTGTTACTACATCTAAGGCTAGACCTGCAAATGAAAAGATGACGTATGTTCAAGCTCAAAGCATCAAGCACCATCAAGCACCACCACTACTACTGTCCGGAAACGAATAAAATCAATGGATTTACTTGCAGTTTTAAGCCAACCAAAACCTAAGCAAAAGAAAATTCATTGTTTGGCACAAAAGCATATGAAATAATGGGAGATACTCTTGAATGTAAAACTAGATTTTCTTTTTGAAAATCCCTACCTGTCTCTCTAAATATAATTAATATTTCAAAATGTTTCTTCACTTCTCACTGAAATGTTTCTTACTTTTACATTATTGACTACAATATGATTGACCATTATGTCTTCTGAAAAAAATGATAGCAATTTAAATATAGCTAAGAGTGCTGTATGAAGGAAGCCAGTTAATAAATCCATAAAACAAACGTGTTCACCTAATACAGGGAAGTACTCCCAATATTCAGCATACTTTCTGCAGGTGAATAGCTGCAAGTAATAAGACTGATAAGACAGCAATAAAGGGAGACATAGGTTAAGTGCTAAAAGAATATTTGTACTAAGATGATTAAAGATTTTAAACAGAAACTTTTGATCTCTGATTTATTCTTTTGAAGAATGATGTTGTTGGTAGATAGAAAAAAATAAAATTTAATTAAAAGCAGGATGCTATGGAGAAGATTTGAAAGTGAAAATTTAAATATCTTCATTTGCTTTGTAGGAGCCAGAATGAACTCCACTTAAGGAGCTGTCTGGCTGTAGCAGGTAGAGCAAGGTCCCACCAGGAATGTGCTAATGGTGCGACAGAGGGGACAAGTGTGCTCAAGCGCTGTCACCTAGGCCCGCGCCCTGGCGATGAACACAGGCATAGCCAGGCACGTTGTCATCTTGAAACCTTGTCACTCCGTGACAGGAGCAGCATGGGGCGAAGGAAGTGGCATGACTGAGACAGGGGCACAAAGCACACACGGACACTCACTCGCCAGCCTGCGCCAGTTTGCTAAGGTAGATGCTTAATAAAAGATGAATTTTTATTCCATACCAAAATGTCAGTGGTCTTGGACATTCAGAGAAAACAGCAAAGAACTGAAAGAACAAGGAACTGGAAATGAAATACACCTTCTGACTGTCCCAGTTTACTGAAATAATTAGGTTTAAGAACTAGGTTAAAGTTGTTATTTTTGCATTACTCAAAGACCAAGAGAAAAGAGCACATATCTGACATCAGAATGAGATCTTTATTAGCACTCGTAGATACACACACACACACCATTCTGCTACAACATGCTTTCACTCAGATTGAACTTGTACATTTCTTCTGTAAAAAAAAAGGATGTTTTAATTAAGAAAATCTAGAAAATCTCTTCCAAATCTAGATACATCTTGAAGGAAGAAAATACAAAATGTCAAAGCACAAGTTGTGCAGACATTGACCCCTGAAAATTACAGGCATTTAAAAATTACATAACTTGGTTGTAAAATAAAAGTCCAGTTGTATTTTAAAACATATTTCAGATTTTTGCATTACTTCGAGTTTATGAAATTCAAATGTTTAAGAAAAAAGTTTTAAATCCCTCATACTTGCCTTGCAAATTGGAAAAAAAAAACCTTACATCTTTATACATCATCGTGTGTAATGAAGATTCAACAGCTACAACTTATGTAGTCGTTAACAACAGCACTGCCCCTACGTGTGAGGGTAAATCCTAGATCCTTCCCTGAATACAGCTCTTATTGTCGTCCTAAAAGGACAAAAAAACAAACAAACAAACAAACAAAAAGTACTTGAAGCTCAGTTTTGTGATAAAATATACAGGGAGTGTAAAACAAACAATCTGTGTTTAAATAATTTGTTTTCCTACTATGACCTAACTGTGCACACACAAAAAATATACTCTGAACGTTTATATTCCTAAATACTGTACTGCCACAAAAAAAAACTAGTATTTGATGATATTTTACATATAAGAAATACAAAACAGTCACAAACGAGTCTCCCCTTCATCCTGTTAAAATGTAGACCATTAAGATGTTAAGGTCTTTCAAAAATGATAATTAAATGTAATAAATTCATGTCATGCAAGGTATTTTGTAGAACTGTAAATTTGGTTAGCTAAACTGTCCAACATAGGCACAGTTTGAAACCACATATTCTAATAATATTTTGTTCTCTATGGCCAACTTTTAACACAGCACAGGTGAAGGCAGAATCTGGGTTCTGCTATTTACAGCTGAAACAACATCTTAGGTTTTTGATTTGCTTATTATTCTATCGCATTGGTAATTAGTCTCGAATATCCCATATGATTTTGATTACTTCAAATACATGTGTCTCTCTTGATTAATTT